GTTCATATAAAAATAATGGATTTCTTTTTCCCCAAACTAACGAAACGTTTTTCATTATTTTAACAATTACCTCTGATGTGCAACATAAACGTTATATGTACATACATATATATTTATATATATGCATGCAGTCACATCATTATCGTATTAATCTCTATTGTTACGTTTCTGTGCGCAACTCTGTATTACTGTTTCTATTCATTTAACTGGAAAATTTAATTTCGATTTTAGTTCATATTCGTATCTATACGGTAGTCCAATAAAGTTCACGTACAGTGCCAAAAATTGAGGTTTCCCTTATTAAAAACTGCATTTACGGGTTAGGGGCAAAAAAAGGTCTTCTTCACGACTTTTCCTTTCGACTTAAGATAAAGTTTAAGCAAAAACAAGTAAGAAAGTTCGTCAAGGCCCAACCTGGCGTACCCAACACCATGCTAAGAAAAAATTAATCGCGGTGTCTACCGTATTCATTTTAAAATTAACCCCTTTACAGGTAGATAATATATCTACATTTAAGGAGTGTCCAAAATAATTTTAAATGTTTTGTCTTCGTAGCTTTACGAAGCATTAAACCACAAATGCAATTTTTAATAAGAGAAACACTAATTTTCGATACTGTATGTAGACTTTATTGGGCTACTGTACATATCTACATATATATCTGTTCGAGAACAAAAAAAAAAAGAGGATATTCCTTTTCGAAAGCTCAAACGTTCTGGTTTTAATGCAGATAATTCTTTGTCAGCGTGTGTTTGATACCTATTTATAAATATTTACCATTTTCCAAACGGGCAGAAAGGAGATGGAAGTATGTTACATTCGCCAGACCGTTTGTAATGTTTAGAAACAAGCAACATTACGGTTATAAGTAATACAAACTATATTATCATATCTTTGATGCCATCATAATGTATTTTATTATTCTCATGAACGTAGAATAGATTGGTCTGTCCGGCGATCCATTATCGCTTATGTAACTTTCACGAAGAAAGTAACCGAAATTGAGAGAGTGATCTTATAAAAGTCATGCTGGGGATAATTGACAGACAGCTTTGCAAAATCAAATTTTCAAACCTTTAACGAATTTCGAGCTAAAATTTAATAGACATACATAGGAAGGAAGGAAATTAGACGTACATTGCTTTATGTTGGCTTAAGATACTCGTTTCGCATTTTTCTCCTGTTATATTCCATGTTTATTATTTATTTATAAAGTAGTAAAAATGATTTAGAATAATGTTAACTATAAAGGAAAACTTAAAAAAAGTGGTTCGGTTCAAGAATATCAGACGTTTCCAGGTGTACAGTAAAATAGATGATACAGGTGTAAAGCAAAACTTTCTACTTAAAAGTAACAATTTTAATAGAAGTCAATTAAGGCAGTGAATAATCGATGTAACCATCATTGTGTCTTTTAGACTTAAATAACTTCCGCCATGTTACTGCTGGGGCCTTATACCACACTTTTTGAATATTTTCCCATAATTGTTGTTTGCCTGGCGACTTAGTCCTTCCCAAAGATTCTCAATAGGTTTGACGCTGACTTGGCTGTTCAATGATATCCAAGTTATTCTCCTGGAACCACGCTTTTCCTAAATTGGATGAATGTTTTTGATCGTTATCCCGCTAAAATTGCTATAGGCATACGGCGGCAGCCTGACAGTTTCCAACAAGTTTTTATATACAAATCAATATTTATAGCATTTTCTATGTGATATATCGGACCTATGCCCGTTGAATAAAGCAGCTCCACAACATGAGATTTCCTCCGCCAAGCTTCACTGCTTCTTTAGTAAATCTAATGTGGATTTTTTCCCTTTTACCTAAAATGCATTTCTTCGCGGATCATTTCCAAACAAATTTGTATTTATTTCGTCGTTCCAAAGCATATATCTCCACTTTTTTTTGCCTTTCGATCCGCACCAACTCTTATGGCCTGAAGTAAAGTCTTTTCTCTTCTTCAAACGCACTTTGTGAACTATCCTACCAGGCAGATTGGCACCTAATAATCGTCGACGAACCGTTCTAGCTGATACAGCATTTCGGCGTCACCTAACCTTTTTTGGGTTTTAACGCATTGCTAACGTAGTTTCCTGATCGACCCAGTGGTACGATAATGAGTTTGTAAATATTTCCCTGATTCTGAGAAGCTAGTCGCCTCTTTTCGTTGCTACAATGATGTGTGTAATATTACATTAAAAATTAATTCATATTACTTTTCCTCCTCAGGAAATACATATTCGCCTTTGCAATCCATTTTTACAGGAAGACATTACAAAACACTTTACTTTTAAAGAGGACACATCTATATACAAAATACCCCTCGCATCAATTTTTTTGGGCACTTATGTATTTATTAGGATCCCTAAAAGATGCTGCACTTGCAATCAGCAAAATATGTCGTAGTATTTACTCGTTTGACCCCATGAATTTGCTTCAAAGAGTATATAACTTTTTCGAAAGCAAATGTCTACACATATTTAGCCCTACAATAGAGCAAATGGGGTTGTATGATATAAAAGGAATATTTGAAGCACATTCTAGTGGCGTCACTTATTGATGGATAGGTAATATGGAAAGAACTGCTGTTCTGGTTAACGGAATGGAAGGAAGCGAAGATGTGTTTGATGATACGTGTCGAAACAATGCTTTTGTGTCGTCGGCAAATGCCAATCTTGCGAAAAAGGTGATACTTTACGATGCTAAGACACGAAGATCAACGCATGAAGTGAATTATAAAAAATTTGATTAAAACATGAGTCGCATAAATGTAAGTTTTTCTGCGCAATTTCAGGTAATCAAATGTCTCGAACAGGTAGCGATAAATTAACTTTCTTTTAAATACATAATTGCATTTCCATCAATTCCAACAAAAAAATCGGCTGAGTTTTCATTATAACTTTGACATAACCTTCAGTTATCCCTAATTTTAATTTCCCAGCATTTTGGATATCATTTACGACTTCATCAGCTTGCTCGAGGAACATTCGCCACGGGATAACGGCTCATCGGCATAAACTTGTTTCATCAATTGCTTTCAACACGACCAATTACTGTGCACATTCGACGAAACGTCAGTGAAGGACTTGCGTTAAGATTGCTTAAACATACAATTGCTGAGTTTGTTTAAGGTGTTAATTGAAGCGATTAATAACAAAAACAATGATTAATCCTTGTTGTTAGTTTTGAGAATATGTAAACCATTTGTGAGGATTAATGATAGTTTTAAGAATGCTGGTAACTCTGTTACGATATATTTAGAATGTGAAACTTGGTAAGCTTGTACAATGTTGGGATACCTGAAATTAATTAAAAAATTTGATATCTTTGTTACGAAATGTTTCATTGCTGTGAGTGTTCGTTGCGTCACTATTCTTGATTAACAGCACAATAACGGCACTACGACCTCAACGGTGACGACGTGTAACTGTCTACATTTTACGACTGGCTACCTAATCGTTTAGGTTTACTTGTTTGTCTTGTTTTCGCCATCTTTCGACCAGTCAGTGCTGTCAACTATATCGTCGCCGTGCCCACGTATATAAGTCCTTCTACAAGTACCTAATATGGATGCGAGTTACGATATTTTTATCCTATTCAGCTAAAAAGCTTACTCGTGGTAAAATTGTTTTGATGGGGTGAGAGAAGCCAACAATTTTCAACAGTTATAAAAGGCTTTCTACAATCTGACAAAGTGATTGATGTGAAGCCTCTAGCATACGCTAGCTGTGAAATCTAACAAAGGCTCCTTCCACTGACATTAGTTTTTTTTATTTTTAAAATAAATATCGCTCTTATTTTTTGAACCCAGCAACATCCGCCTGGCGTGGTTCATACAAGATTCCTGCAGTTGATCTCACATTTGTTGTTTGCTTGACATAACCTCTCTCGCAAATTGAAGCCTAAGAACTTTTTTTGTAGAAGCAAATTATTTCAATCTTATTTCCAAATATGCGTAAATTTGTTGCAAGAAGCATATGGGATTAATGGATACTTGAAATTTGTGAGCCATATTTTTGTAGTCTGTGTGCTTAGCGAATTAATGATACCCGGACACTCTTGAGACAGAGCGATCGGAGAAAGTGACTTTGAATCGATGTTTGCATGCCCGTCTGTCGATATTGTTTGCTTTTGTGTTCAACCTTTGCCAAGATGTTTTGGGTCAGGGACGAATGCTATTGAAAATGGTTCCGATCGAATCACTTTTTCGATCACTTCCCATACAGCGCCTTATTTTGGAAAGTCATTGTATGAATAACTGTATTAAGTGAAGGGATGTGGGGTGATGTTATACCCTTGGTTATTCTACATCCTTTTTTTTATCGTTTTATAAAAAGTGCTACGAACAAATTTCCAGGTTGCTTAACAAATTTCTTCAAGGTTTATTTATCTCATAGCAGCCACTAATCTATTTTGACTTGAGTTAATAGGTAGAGAAATAAAACAACTTTTTTTTTATTATTTTTTTATAAATATTCTATAGAGAAGTATTTATTGGAAAATAAAATAAAAAAAGTTTAAAAATATAAAATATTTTTTAAACAGCGTAGGCAAGAATTTTAAAAATATATTTAAAAAAAAAATAGAATAAAAGATAAGAGAGACGTCTTTTAAAAATCTGCTGCTAAATATATAAAATTGCTTATTAAAATATTTATAAACTTAATAAACTACTTATTATATTCATAAATGCACAAAATGTCTATACGTAAGAGTATGTAGTCTGTCAGTGAAGCGATTATCAGTTTAAGCGAATTTCAAAAACAAAAAAAAAATAAACGGAAAACATTATTACATTACATAGCTTGATATGGTGGCTGAGAAGCAGCGAAAGTGAAATTTATTTTCTTTTACACTTTCTCTTTTTCGCTTGTTGTTTTATGTTTTTCTCTGTTTAATAGTAAAGAAGTGTGAGAGAGTGTCCAAGCACACGTGTCGATAACTTTTTGATTATTATTATTATTATTATATTCGTTAATATTATATATTTTACTAAAATTAAAGTATATTTTAATTAATAAGTTTTCTTTGTTTTCTTTTTTGAAAGGTCAAAACTTATATATATCTAGATTTAGGTAAAATTACGATATGAAGAAATTTCTTTTAAATTGTTATGAGTTTTTTTCCTTCGTCAGTTAAAATATTTATTTTACTGAGCTCATGTAAAGATTACTTGACTGCTATCTTTTAGTGAATAAATTTTTATACCCAACACCGTAGAATGCGCATAGAGGGGATCTGCATCTTAGTTCGTAATGCGGGATCCCATAATGGATTCTGACCTTTGTTGGGTTTTGAATCAACTTAGCCATGTCCTCTCTTGGCTTTTGTTATCATGTTTACAAGAATCGGGTGTATTCAAAATGTAAGGAGACTTTTCAAATTTCATGGGCTAAGTACACTCGATTTTCCAATATTTTTTTCCCCCTATCCGCCCATTCCCATTATTAGCATTTTGCATTTTTAGTTATATATCCGCAGCTGATGTACATCATACGTGCGATAAGCATCAAATCAGAAAACGGACGTGAAAGTGTCGCCAATTGGCGACAATCTGTCACCATTGACAACAGAGCTTAACGTACACTTTTAAACCAATATTTTACATCATTTAAAATCCTTACTTGAGAGTGCAGGATTTTAATATATTTTCCCTGCTAAAATTGCTTCACAAAACATATCTGAGGCCTTCAATTTTCCCGACATATTAGATATAGCCAACTCAGATATTCAGGTGTTCACAAGCTGTCGTTCAGTGTATATCACAGTTCAAAGAGGGAGATGTCATTTACGGAACTGCATTTGTCTGCGTTTTTGATTGGATTAAAGTTTAGGCTAGGAGTTATGTTAGAGGTTAAGTTATGTTGGCTTGGAGTGAAAACGTAGTAACTTAGGAAACCGTTAGAAAGGAATTGGCGGAATTTTTGTTATGTCCCTGCGTATCCAGGGAGAAGCAAACCACGAAGTGTTCTCCAACTCGGGCTAGGAAGTTTTACCGCGCTTAGCGACATTCTCCAGGCATGACCCCTTAGGTTTATTGAGCAAATCAACAGTTCATAGAAGTTGAAGATGTGCGAACATATGCTGGTCGATGGCTATTTTGCTTCCAAATCCGCAAGTTCCTTCCCCGAGGCCATCCGTAAGCTAGTCGATAAATGGCAAAAGTCCATAGGTAATGACGATGGATATTTCGATTATTAAGATTTGTAATAAGGATATTTCAAGTAAAGTTGAATTTTATCCAAAAACAGCAGGAATTTATTTGTACATCTATGAATATTCAAATACAACATTTTTTCCCTAAACGTTCAAGTTTGGGATTTGAGTTGGTATCGCTACACTTTCGAGTTTGTCAAATTGTAATCTAAAATTTTTCACTTCGAAGTGTTGGATTAAGTTAATGAAATTGAAACACGAATTGCTGGGTACTGGTTTCAAGTGGTGAGTATAAGAGCAAACGCCCAAAGGCGAGTATAAATGCTTTACTTGTTTATGTTATGATTTAATGCGTTATAGTTTTTAAACAATATTTTTTATTAATTTTAGTTGTGCTTGCTTGTCTGTATAAAGGTCAGCGGATCATGAAATTATATAGAAATTTGCCTAAAATTAGGCAACTTTTTTTAAATTTTTCACTGCCGTATAATAGGTTACGATTCAAGAGTGTAATTATTTATTTATAGGTTAATTCATTTAAATGCTTTTATTTAATACTTTTTGATTTTTTTTTTGTTTTAGAGCTCACTCCCCCCTCCTTCTTTTTAGAAATGTGAAAAGGAAGAAAATGTTAATTTTCGTTGTATTTACGTTGAATATTGGTTGAAGAAGAGTTATAAGCACTTATCAAATTATTTTAGGTTTAGGTTTGTTTTTTTAGTATTGGTTATCAAAGCATGTTTTTTTGTTTTGCTGATTTTTCTTTATAAGCTTTTCCTATTTAATTATACCGGGTTTTTAGTATTTATTGGCGTGTGTGTGTGTATATATTGCTGTAAATTGCTTTGCTGGGAACTTTAGTTGTGTTTTTAATTTACTCTTAATTATGAACTTTTTTGATATTCATTTAGCTATTGCTTTTAATAACTTTCTGTACGGATTTAAAAAAGTTTAATGGACGTTTCTGTGTATTGTTCCAATAGTCGTCGCTGATATCAGACTATATTCTTACGGAAGACTTCGTTTGGATGTTGATTACTGAAATTTTGACGTGTTGAACATTGCTGAAAATATTGTTTATATAAAAGAAAAAAAAAATTATTTCTTTTCGATTACATGGTCAGTCTACAGACTTAGCGTAAGGATGTAGCAAAAGAAAAGAAAAACAAATTTCAATAAATTTCCATATAAATAAATTGTATAGATTTTTATTTCAGTGAAGTTCTAGTTTAGATGCATTAATCTTTTGACTACCAGCCGCCAGCAGGGTTTCTTTCTTTACCGCTGGACGAGACATCACACCAAACACAACTTAAACTTCTTGTTGCTACAACTAGTTCGTGTGGGATTCCTGGTCTTTATTTTGAATAGTGTTGTCACATGTGAAAATATTGTGAGGACTTTGTGGAAACTATCTCTTCTTTCTTTTACAATTTCTGCTCCATTGAAGTGCACAATACACTTCGCACTTATTCTTCTGTCCACATGTGTGCGATCTAAGTACAGACGTCTGAGCGTGATGAACGTTCACTCGAGAAGAAGAAAGAAAACTAATACAACAGTCTGCCCCTCTACTGTGACCGCGTCAGAAGTCGTCTGCGAGGTTGCAAGGTTGTCTATGCCAAACTTAACCGTATCCAACATACGTTCTTTAATTGGGTTGCTCCGAAACTTGACTTGATTGACTTGCTATAAATTAATATAACTAACACTAATAAACTAAAAATAATAGTATAGAAGGATTCCCGAAACATCATGGGACTTGATCAAAATTTATTAAACTTAATTTACATCCTAGAAATTTTATTATTTTTCACTTTCGGGTCATAGAAAACTAGGGAACAGACTTTTTCTCCAAATAAGGGCCTGATTTTTATGATAACCCAAAAATACCTCGGGATTTAAAGTGAAGACCTATGTAATCCAAATTCCTTACTGTTAATTGTTTTGCTAAATTGCTGCTACAGACTAATTTTCATAATAAAATATTAAAAATTCAATCCTTTTTTGAAGAGCTTACCATTCCTAAAATATCTTATATAGGGCGGAGTCCAAGAAACGGGCTCATAATTCAAATTTGCTTTTCGTAATTTCTATGTGAAGTTACTATCGTGAACAAATTTTCCTCATAAAGCATTAACATAATTAACCTTTCTACGTGGCCCAAATTCGCTAGGGTTGATTTTGGTAACAGTTTACTGTTATGAACTAATTTTCACCAAGAAATATTGAAAATTAGATCAAGTTTTCGTGGAAACGGTTATATGAGAGGATGCTCAGAAAATTTCTCCAGTCGAAGTAAATTTTTCACACCAATGCTACTGCTCAGCGGCCTTTTCAACTTTTCTCCGCATGACGACATGTCAATATAAGCCGTTATAAAGAGAGTGGTGAAGAAAGTTGACTGAACGGGAAACGTTCTTCCTTGAGTCAAAATAACATCGGTGCACCAAATGTCATCGGAACTTGAGACCTATGGGTCGAATCGAAGAAAACAAGACGCACTGAGAGGCAGACAGGCTTAAATAAATTCAGGCAACTATTCCTAACCGATCGGTTTAATAAAAGATTGATCTATCTCAAGCTCTTCTGGGTGTTGTACACGTCCGCACAAACTTAATATGCCCTTACCGTACCACAGATAGCGTTGTGTGTTATAAGTAATAACGAAGATAATCGAGTAAATGTGCAAGTGAATGGTATTATATGTCAAAAGGTCCCTGAATATACGAATGAAATATGTAATCTGTGCTTGGTAAAATCCTTTCTTACTAAGCTAATAGACGCAACACTTAAGCACCACCATATGCCACATGCACATAAAATTCCGCTCTGTTTTTCAATTATACCTGTTATGTAGATGTGTGTAAATATTTAACAGCATTGTGTGTATATTTTAACACTTTCATGTAACTTTATTGACATAATTTCATTAAAAGCGGTTTGAAAAGACATCAGCAATTATATGTATCAGTATTGATTGTTACGTTGCGGTTTTCATTTATACATAAATGGATATATAATTGACCTATTAAAGATTTTAATAGCAACAGTAAACATTGCATATAAGAGCAATAAAAACATTATATATTATTCATACGGGCTTGGAATTATAGAGTATCAACTATAAAATTATCGCAAATAAGTATTTACTGTACATATACATGTTACATATATCCGATTCAACTTACCGCTTGTTTCTTTTCCCAGGATTTCATGGCAGTTTTATATTTTTCAAATTCATGACACCAATCTGAATAAATTTTCTGATAATCGTTGCTCTTATTGGGTGGAGTGCACCTAATAGAATAATATAAAGAGAAAAAATATTTTCGTGTTAAAGGAAAAAAAAAAAAAAAAAAAAATTACAATAATTAAGATTTATTAACTACCTATGAGCGTCCACTGTAATATTATAACTGCATAATAAGGAACCACCTAAATGGCAATCGTATCGACCACCGTCACCTTCGTTAACTGAAACCACCACAAGACCACGTTCTGTAGTTTCGATATATTTCGTAGGACTGTACTTGATTTCATAGCTATATATGGAGAGTGTTGTGTACATTTCTTCATCAATTCTTTATATTTTGACGTACTTACCGTCCTTTATCCTTGGAATGATGATACCAGGTAACTTGTTCGTTTTTCAATACTTCAGGTATTTTAACAAAACAACCCAAATGTACACTCTGGCCATAGGTAACGATGATTTTCTTCTTCAACACGCTTGAATCACATATGTCGCTCGTTTCATTGCCTACGTCCTGTCATCGTTTAAGAAAAAGACACGAAGAGAAAGTAGAAATTATTTTTGTATGTTTAACTCTATGTGGGCCACGGCCCACTAGTAATAACCATGCACTTGGTTTAAAAACTTTTCAAAGGAAGGTTTTATAGGTTGGTATAGGTCGATTTGGAACATTTTTAATAGCATTCGGTCTTGGCCCATACTACGTCGCTGTATCCAATTTCATTGGACTGTGTCAAAATTTGCGACTTGTAGGTTGAAAGCGTGCGTTCAGGCAGACGGACAAATTTTGATCGATTCAAGAAGTGATTCTGAATACACCGCTATAAGAAAAGGTTACCCTGTTCCGAGCCGTTCTGGGTATTGTACACATCATAAGTGCTGTAAAAAAAAAATGCTTTGTAGGTCGTGACGTGTCTGTGATGTTGCTCGAAATAAATCGATCACTATAACGGAAGGTGATCTATCTCAAGTCCTTCTGGGTACTATGTACATCCGGGGAAATTGGATATACTCCTGTACCACAATTGGTGTCGAATATAAAAACATTGCAATTTCCAGAAGAAGGCAATCTTTTGAGCCATCTATCAGATAATCATTCCTACGGAAACTGAAGCTTTATATGGTAAAACGATCGGATGTTTAATATTTTTTGATGAAAATTGCTTCGTAATAATAATTTAACAAAAAAATTAAGCATATTAAATACGGACAACGCTAGTCTATTTTTTAACCCCATTCCATGTAAGAGTCCCAATAAAAAATAAGCCATCATATGGCAAAAATGTTCAATTTTTGATGACAATTGGTTCATAAAGAGTAATTCGATATAAAAGTTTTATGAAGCAAGGCTTTTTTTTAAACATCATCGCATACGAGGATCGCCATGATATATTAAGGCGTTTTATGATGAAAGTTGGTCGTCAATAAATTAAACGTACAAAATTTGACTTAGATAGGTTTTTTTTTTATCTCTTCACACATAGGCACTCTTATCGAAAGCAAGCTCTTTTACGGCGTCAAGATCCAATTTATAGTTTTTTATGACCGAGGCAAATGGAAAATAATAACAAATTTTAACAAGCGAATGAAGTATGTTGTTGCTAAGTATGAGTCACGTTGGTTGACAGCGTCCTTCAACATGAGGCCTTTATGAAAGGTATAAGGCAATCATTAAAATAATGTACAATTTTCGATATTACTACGAAGGTGAATTGCTTAACGACATTAGCCGTAATGGTGTCGGGTATCTAAAGGTCGCCCTGCCAGACAATAATGTTCTTATCTAATCTCTCAGTAATTTGTTTCTAAAGACTACATATTTCCTCGTCGAACATTTTCTTCAAAAAAACATGTGAAACTGCAATACGAAAATCAAAAATTTGTACAAAATCTCTTTATGCTTTTTTTGTGTTGAACAACATTGTTTGAAATGTTTAGCAAAAACCCTTAATACGCAAAAGTATACAGTTATCCGTGAGATATATTTACATTTTGTATGTACGTTCATTACAATTTCCCTTTCATTTCATATCATTCTTGTACAGTTCAGGTATGCGTACGCAAGAGTTTTTGTGCTTGCGCCTTCATGTACTTTGAGGCTAATAAAAAAATATATGCAAGAAAGAAAAAAAGAAACATGAAAATAAAATGCAATACAAACCTGTAATAGATCCAATTCGTAGGGACGACATGTATTCGTTTCTTTATCCCATCCGCAGTAGGGATCACGCACACAACGGAAACAATTGTCATAACGACGATTGCACATCGCTAAATCGATTTGTTTGACACGATGATCTGTTGCAACATACAAGGACTTGCTTGTCTGACTGATTTCCATTACCTGGATAGCTTCATTTGTCGCTATCTCGAATATATCCAACAGTTTCGATAATGATTCGCCGTTACGATAATACTGTACAATTTTATAGATACGACCCAAATTGGTGCCCACGTAGTATACCGTGTACTCTTGATTTAAAATATCGATTTTTATTCTGCAAAAGTACAATAAAAGAAAAGAATGATAAAACACAAGAGATTACATATCAATACCGTGTTAAGGGAATGAGTGCCGATGGTGGGACGAGATATATATATATATATATATAAATCATGGATGATAATTGTTTAAAATTGTTATATGTGCGTGAAGAGTGTGTTCATTTACATATTTCGGCCATTAACAATTTTTTTTTTTTAAGTAAGTGAGAAAAAAAGTAAACATTGCCTCCTAACTCCGGCAACAACGTATGGCGGTTAACTGAATACGATATTACATCGAACATCGATTATTATATCTTTTGTTATTATTTGGCATTCACATCCAATATCATTGAATAAGCATTAAATGGAAGCATCAAGTCTTTCAATGCGCCATCAGCATCAACGGGACTATTATGCGTTTTAAAATTATGAAAGAAGCTTAATGAAAGATTTCATACACATCCATATATATATATATATATATATATATATATATATAGTTAAGGATAACAATAATTGATTCATTTTTTTTTTATTTTTTATTTTTTTTTTATATACATAAAATAATAGGGCAACAGAGTTACTTGTATTTTGATTATAACAATTCAATGCAAGAGAGATGAATGGAAAAAAAAAAACACATTCAATAGCAATTTAATACGAAACTGTATACGCGTCTCTTATTCTGTGTCCACGGAGTGCGTAAGGTTTAACTGCTGCACAATGTGTTACGGGCATTCATTAAATATATATTTTAACGATTTTCCTACATAACCATACACAGACAATTACTACTACAACCGACATCCTATATGTGACGGTGCTGGTCACCTGAATGTAATGATTTATGAAAGCCTTAAGCCTTTTGTAATTCAATCTATTGTTATATACTTTTGCCGGCCAGCGCTGGCGATGTTTTTACCTTACACAGCCCTTTCGTCTGTCTCCTTTCGACTTTACACATTTTTGCTTTCATCACCTTTATCTCCCGCTAACTTTTTCTTTACTAGTACTGCTACACTTATTCATAACATTGGCAATTAAAATAAATATACGCATCAAAAAGTAATTAAATATTAAGTAAAAATTACGCATGAATCCTTTTCAATGTTTTTTTCTTTCCATTTCCTCACTCCAAGGTACTTAACGGCCAATATATATGTATATGTGTACAGGAGGAGAATGTTGTAATTGTATGCACGGTTGTTTTCTGTATTCATGTGTGTAATTAATTTATAAGCGTTTAATGATTTCGGGGATTGCGTTCAATTATATACAATTTAATTGATTTTTAAACAAGGTTTGTGCAACAATGACAACCAGGGCAATATATCCGGAAGGTGTGCGCGCCCGAGTTCCGAACATAATTTCATGGTTAAAATATAAATATTTAAAGAAAAAATATATATTTGTAGCACAACCCAAGGCAAATATTACTGCACTGCTAACAAAAGAAAATTATTTTCATAAAATACTCTCACGATCTTTTCAGCACTTGCCAAAAGCGTATGGGATAAGTGGCTTTTCAATCAGAGATGTCACTTCATATTTCGCATCATTGCGATAAGCCGAAAATGCAGAAGCATATCATTCCTCTCCCTGTACAAAAAAAAAA